GAATAAATTCCTGCTGTTTAAAGCCACCCAGTTTGTGGTACTTGCTACAGCTGCCTTAGGAAATTAACACAGTGACTAAGAGCTGGGATCTGTATGTGCTGGGAGGGGGGCGGCCAGAGGGGGAGGGGCAGAGAGGGCTGCGTGGGAGGAGGTGCTTTTCCTAGTTGTGTCTGCTGCTTGGGCAGGAGGCCCAAAGAACAGAACAGAACCTACAGTTCAGCGTGGCTCACGGTAGGCCCGGCTTTGATGACTCATGTGTTATTGTCTTTGTGTCCTCCATCGTGCCTAGAACAGGTACTGCACCCAGAGGTGCTCAGGAAACATTCATCGGCCAGGCTGGCCTGGTCTCTCTTGCTCTGTGTCTCTTGAGCACCAGAGCTGTGCCGCCTACACAGTCCTTGCCACCCGCTGCTCTGCCCTGTATTGTTCATGCATTTTTCTTGCCCCTTGTATGCACTTATTCACCAAAAACTGTTTGATGCCCAAGCACGATGTGGAGCTTCTAGACCAGAAGGGCTGAACTGCATTTTTCACTACGCCTCACCCACCTGATCCCCCGTGTTCCACATGTCATGGTGCCTGCACACAGTAGGTGCCATTAAATGCTTAGTGTTTTTGGATGCGTTCAGCATGTGAGGAAACAGACGGGATTGGCTGGCTGGGCTGGAGAAAGCTACCCCAGCTTTACTAAAAAAGGAATTTAGAGGCTGCTGCTATTTGCCAAATTAGCAGAGAAGCATCGGCACCTCTGAAAGTTGTCAATAGGGATTCCTGCTTACTGAGGCCATGCGCTGAGCCCATAATCCCCGCTCCAGGAGTGCGGCTTTATCCTGAGTGTGACCTGAGAAATGAAATCCCTCAGCTCTCACCGGCGGCCAGCGCCGTGTTAAACCAGAACCAGAGGTTCAGCCATGAGAGGGATGAGCATTTGTGCTCCAGGTTGTACGCACCACGCTGCACACCTGGGTCCCCTTCACCACGTCATACGTAGTACAATACCTGGAAGTCAATGTCAGTGCCCGGGGCTGCAGGCGAGGCTGGGCTGAAGCTGGCAGTGCCTTCTGACCACCCATCCTCAGCCTGCCCCATCTCACTAGCATGCAGCTTGTCCTGGGCAGGGGTCCCTCTGGGACGAACTGTAGTGACCAGCCCAAGGAAAGTCCTTCAGGTACGAATAGGACGTTACAGTCTACCTGGCCCTTCACATGAACCCAGGGAAGTCTCTTCACTTGGCACTGCAGGGTGAGGGGACGCCGGATAGCCGAGCTGGACCGGAACCTAGATCCCTCCAGGCCCACGGAGCCCGGTCCTTTGGTCAGCTACCCCCAACCGTGAGGCCTCAAGGGAATTGTTTCAGTGATGAGGGTTTGCACCGAATGGCACCATTCACAACTTGACACTGAAAGGTCATCCACTCAAAGAGGCTCTGAGTGTCGACCACACCTGCTCTGGGTGGCCTTCAACCCACACAAAGACCCGGCAGCACTGGGGGGTGCCTGCTGTCCAGCCAGGGCCGCCATCCAAGGGCCATGTTGGAGGTCTTCATCCTCCTCCCGTCCGCAGGATATGCTCACCAGGGCAGCTGGCAAGCTGGAGAGCCGAACGTGACTTTCCACGCCAGGTCTCCCCAGAGACAAAGGAAAGCCTAACACCACACGGACTGTATTGACGACACCAAGCTGGCAGCTGGGCATGAGGGTCATAGGGCCCCCAAATCACCTGGACCTCTGCTGCCTCATCTGCGTCTGGTGTGAGGGCTTGAGCCTCGGGGCAGCCCCAGAGCACACAGAGGCAGGCTGGGTTCCAGACTTGCGGCACTGATACGGTCACGGGACACCAGAGTGTGGAAGGGTGGGTTCCCCCAGCGGAGCTCGCCTCCCGGCCCGGCCGGGACAGACACTAGGATGGGGACTTCACAGGAGAAGTGGCTGGAGTTCCCGGCTTCCTGAGAGGAAAACTGGGGGATGGGAGCGGGGCCCCCAGAGCAGCTGGCACATCCTGTCCACGGGGCTCACACAGCTGCAAAACAAACGCTGCCCTCAGTGAACCTCACTTTCCTTCCATGGTGAACTCTCCGCTGCAGGCTTGTGGGCTGCGTGGTCCTTCTCAGAACGACCCAACTGCTTGTCCTTGGGAGCCAAGACCCCCATCCGAGCTTAGCTGCGAGCTCCAAAGCCGAGTGGTGAGGGAGGCCAGCGTGGGCTCGCAGACTGCCCTGCACGGGGCTCCCGGGGACCCATTTCTAGTGCTCTGGGGGATGTCGGCTTGCAGAACCATCTACTAAGAACCTCTGGGTCCCAGGCAGGAAGCAGCATCTCAGAATCTGACCCTGGCAGGAGAGTGGAGGCTAGGACAGGTTTGGAAGCAGATGGACGGGTTTATTCAGCGGGGCTGTCTTGTGCCAAAGCTGAAAGGACTTCAAGGCCAGTTCAAGCCTAGACCAGTCCCTACCCTGAGGAGACAGAGGTGAGGTCTGGAGAAGGGAAAAGTCCCCTTTCCAAACAGGTCCTGGCAGAGCAGTTACTGACCGATGACCCCACCAGGCCAGGGCCTCTGGCCCCTCTGCCTCAGTTCACACAGTGGAATCCTCCCTCTGCCCTCGCCCTGCCCTATCCAGCAGCAGCCTGGGAGGCCTGGCATACCCCAGGTCCTTCGAGGGAAGCGCCCCTTGTTGAGCCCCATCAGCCCGGGGCCGTAAAGACAGTGCCCCCACACTGTCCCCCATCAGCCCGGGGTCAGAAAAGGTCGCCACTAACAAATGCGGGAATGAGCCACTGACACGGACTTTATTGGATGACTGGAGGTCACAGATTGGCTGGTGGGTCACAGACCTGCGGCGCTGTGGAGCATCAGTATCTCTGCTGAGGTGTCCAAGTGCCAGGCCGCCAGGGAGGAGGCCGGGCTAGCAGCAGGCGAAGCCACACCGGAGTGGCAGCTTCTGCCTGTGACCCCCCACCAGAGGACCAGCCCCCCACGGGCACCTGCCAGCTGCACCCTCTCTCCTATGTCGCATGCTGGGGGCGGGAGGGAGCGGCCCAGAGGAGAGAATAGGGAGGAGAGAGAGGCCACGGCAGCCCATCGCCTCACCACCTGCTCCTTCCTTCGGAGGCCTTCCTGCAGTAGGCAAGGGCGCGGACCCCAGCGTGGCGTGCGGGTGTGAAGGCCTGGCGGCGAAACAGAAGAGGGGCAGCTTGTGCTGGGGGCTGAGGCTGCCCCGGAGCCAGCTCCGGGCCCCAGGGAGGCTGCCCTTGGGGCCCAGATAAGGCAGAGGGAGAGGAGGAACTAGGCTCTCAGTCCCCGGAGCCGCCTATTTCCTCTCATGCTGGCACCAGTGGAGGGAAAGGGGGACGTGAGACGCGGGACAGACCAGACTGAGCGCTCCCACCCGCCCTGCAGGTCCTGGCACTGGGCAGCGGGTGCTAGAGACTCTGAAGTCAGCAAACACAGGCCTGGCTCCGGCAGAATCCCTGAGGGATCAGGGTTGGCTCCTGGCCCCGATGGGGAACGGCCTGGGGTCCTTATCCCAAATCCTCCTTCCAATCCTCTCTGTCGAGCAGCACAACCCAAGGGACAACAGCGGTTGCATTTTCTTAAAAACCTGTGTTTACTTAAAAACTAATTCTGAACGTGAAGACTGTATCAAAAACAACAACAACAACAAAAGAGGCATTCTTTGCTGCATTAAACATGCACCATGCTCAGACCCATATGCCGGGGCAAGGGGGTCGGGGAGAAGTCTAAGGCACTGGCCCTGCCCGGCACAGGGCTCCTGCTCCCGGGAAGGAGGCTCCCACTGGGGGAAGGCCAGTGAGCAAATGCAGACCCCGAGGACAGGGAAGGCCTGGCAGCACCCACCGCTGGACAGACGGGGCCCTTCAAGTGGCGGCCGAAGAGCATCCAGCCCAGGTCTGCCGTGAGGAGGGGCACCTCAGCCACAGGAGTCCCTGAAGGATGCAGGGACACCTGTGCTCAAAGCTGTAACGGTGGACATCGGCCCTATGGCCAGAGGCCCAAGGAGGCCGTGGTCTGGCCAGGCCTTCCCTACGAAAGGAAGAGAGAGGAAGACATGGGGATTGTCAGGCCATCTACACACCAGAGGCAGGGCTGGGCCTGAGGTCTCCCTTGAGCTCCGACACTTGGGAAGGCACCGTTCTTAGCACCTGGTAACCGGAGGTGGCTGGGCCACCCCACCTAGCCAGGCTCTCCTGGGCACCCACTCAGCATCCCTCTACTGGGGACCCTGCCAGGGCCTGCAAGCCTCCAGTAGCCATGGTGACTAGAGACTCCCACCCAAACCCCAGGTTGGCCAGGCCTTCCCTCCCGTGCTGGGGCTGGCAGAGCCGGTGGGCACAAAGTTTCCCGCCCCGAGTGGAGCCTCCCTGGCCCCCCGCGCTCCCAGTCTCATGACATCCTGGGGGCTGGGCTCCTGGTTAGCAAGGCATCTCCACAGGCTCTCCCCTCCACATCCACATGGCTGAGACAACTTAGGCTCCACTTCCTATAGTGACCTTGCTCTCTGCATCTTGCAGGATTCCATGAACCCACAGCCCTGAGAAAAGGAAAAAGGCAGTACAGGGGTCCTATGACCCGGCTCCCACCCTCCCTCCCTTGGGAATAGAGGTTCTGGCCCTACAGGTCCAAGTCTGCACCTCACTATGTGCCCCTCCACAGGAGAGAGTCTGCTGGCTCAGGAACAGCACAGGGCTTGGGGGCGGTCAGAAGAGGCTGGGGGCAGCCTGGCCAGGCGCGTCGTGGTCCCGGATGTACTGTAAGATGTCCGTCTCGTCCATGGCTTGGATCTGCTGCTGCTGCTTCTGCTGCCTGGCCACAGCCTCAGATGAACCCGCCCTGGGGGGAACAGCTGGTTTTCTGAGTAGAGCTGGCTTAGCTGCCACTGGAGGCTTGGGCTTGGGCTGGGGCTGAAGCTGGGGTTTGGACTCAGCCCCCAGGTTCAGAATCTGGTCCAAGTCCTCTTCGACTCTAGAGAACCAGAGGGAGAAGCCCTGAGCACAATCTCCTGCAAAAGGGACAAGGTGCCCCCTGCCAAGGCAGGCACCCCTGCAGGGCACTGGGTTCGGTCCCCCCGTCTCCTAGCCTCGCCCTTCCACCCATCCGGCCCCGGGGAGGAACTGAGGGGCAGGGCTCTCCTTCCCTGCAACCCCGCAGCCCAGTGCGAGCAGAGCCGGCCCCTTGGCAGCCTCTGCAGGAGTGCTTTTCGGGTGACCCCACTCCAGACAAGCTGGCTCCTTTAGGTGACTCTTCCTTCAACCCTTCAAGAAATAACAGTAACAGCTGCCACACACGGAGCTCCTGCTCTGGGCCGCGCACTTTAGACCCATCATCTTTCGCTTTATCCTCAACAACCCTTGGGGAGGTATAGCGCAACCTTCACCCTGCAGATGCAGACGCTCAAGTCCTAGGAGGCCGAGCCACCTGCCTGAGGCGAAAGCATGTGGCCGGCCCGAGTTGGAACCAGTAAGTCTGACTTGAGACGCTGGGCTCTCATCCAGGCCAAGTTCAGCCAGAGAAAGAATGAATGAGGGGCTCTAAGCCATCGTGGGTGGGGTCTGCCGGCCCACAGTGTCCCCTGGTGGGCCACCCAGGCGTTCGTTAGACACGGCCCACCGAGGGCTGAAGCCAGCCTCGGCCATCAGCCACCAAGACTCCGCCACGCCCCAGACCTGACAGCCTGTTGGTGGAACTGAAGGGCGCAGCAGTGTGATGGTCACACAGGACCAGCCCAAGTCCTGAACAGCAGGAAAGAAAGGCAGCCCCGCTCTGCCCTCTGCCTGAGGGAGCTCTTGCTGCCAGCTCCTTGTGCAAGGACTCAACTCCTGCACACCAGATGCACAGCGAAAAGACCCATTCAACCCATCCCCCGACCCGCCCACCCAATCAACGTTGGGCTGGGTACCTACCACGGCCGGCCTTTTCCGCATCCGTTAATTCATTGAGTAATCACAAGACACTGTCTGGTAGCAGATGTTAGCTCCATTTTACAGATGTGAAAACTGGGGCACAGAAAGATGAAGGGCCTGGCCTGGGGCCCACAGCTAGCTGGGGACAGGGGAAGGAGGGCAAAGGCGCTGCAGGCAGAAGACCGGCGGGCCTCGCACAGGCCACTTGGCCTCTCCAAGCTTTGGTTTCCCATCTGCCAAATGGCAACAGCGGCATCACCCCACAGGGTTACAACCCCGTGTACAGAGACACGCAGTGCGGCAGGCGGAGTGCGGTTCCCTCCCTCATCCTGCTACTCCTTCAGTGGCCTCAGCCCACCCCACCTGCCTGGTCCTCCGTCTCCCTATCTGGGAACGGGCTCCAGCTCAGACAGCAGCATGGCTGAGTAAAGGCAGGAGCAGAGGGGAGGCACCTCTGGCTGGAACAACTCCCGGCACCACAGGGTCTGGCAGAGGTCTACATGAGGGTGGAGGTGCCCTTCCCGGGAAGGGCTGCCTGCCAGGTAGCAGCTACTGAAGGGGCAGTGGGTCACCCTGCCTGCTTCCTGGGTCAGCCTCCTGTGATGCGGCACAGACCCCAAGGGGAGAATTCAGAGCCTCCCACGGACGGCAGAGAAGTGAGCAAAAGGTGTCCCTCCAGACCCGGAGGGACTGGCCCAAGCCAGGCCTTGAAAGAGTGAGTTCCAGGCAATCCCAGGAGGCATCACGCCGGAACAGGCTCCTCCTGGCAAGTTCAGCTCAGCTGTGTCCCCGCTCCCTCCAAGTGGCTGCCCTTCCTCGAGCCCCCCTGGGCCAGGTGCTGGCTTGTCCTGCATCCTCCACTGGAGGCTGGGTACCCAGGGAAAGCTCTGAGGGACTGAATCATCCTCAAACAGGGGCCCTTAGGGAAATAAAGCAGCAGCTAAAAGCTCGTGTCGGAGTTCAGGATTTATACTGCTTGGCAAAGCAATGACTCTTTGGAGCGAATCAGGAGCTGGATTTGCTCTGAGGCGGAAGGTGGGGCAGTCACACCCAGGATACAGGTGGCCACACAGCATCTCTTGCCAAGCACCCTATTTCCAACTGGGCTCCCTGAGTCACGGGTAAAAACAGGTCCCACTGACACGAGGTCCAGCTCGCCTCCCTTCCAGGCCCTGCAGGTGTGAGGTGAGCCACCGAGGCCACTCCTCTTCCCCAGGTCTCTGCAGAACTTGACTAAAGACCAAAACTGGGGCCCCAGAGCAAGAGGGAACAGGGGTTTCTCAGACTCCAAACCCGGCTCAAGCGCCCCTCCATGCTGCCTCAGGATGGGATGGCAGATGCCAGTGGTGGAATGAAGGGGTGATGAAAGCACTGACGGATGGATGAATATTAGAAAGTTTATCATAAGGAAGCCCAATTACCACCTGCACAGTCCCAGGACACACACAAAGAAAAATAAAATATGGTTCCTGCTCTCAAGAGGGTAATTCCTTCTTTACCAGATGTCTGGCAGAGCAAAGGCAGGGTCACAGGACTCACATTCTCTAAGGCAGTGACTCCCAGAGAGCCCTGTGGGATGTAGGAGGCCTTACAAAGGAAAGGGTCCCAGGGACCAACCAAAACGTGAAATGCTGCGTTGGCACCGCCCTTGAGCCACACGTGCCCACACACTAAAGGCTTGGAAAGTCCTGCTTAACTCGGCCATCTGGCCACAGAAAGCCTTTGAAGGTTAACACCTTTCAGACCCCCCAAACCGGTGTTTCACAGAACATGGGCTGGAAAGTGCTAGTGTAATGGATTTAATATAAACGATGCCCAAAGGTCCCACTGGGTCTGCCCCGCTAGGACATGCTGAGTCCTGGAAACGGCAGAGGCTCCCTGGGGCTGACCTGCTACCCCAGGCCTCAGTGTCACCCTGAAGCACATAACAACAGTCCCAGCTTCTCCCAGGGAGTACTGCTGCCTGGATGTCAGCGGTGAGGACACAGGATGAGCGTGAACAGCTGCCAGGGGCCATGGGGAGATGTAATGACAAGGAGCCGTTGCTGTGACTCAGGCTCGGCGGGCACTCGGAAGGCTAACAGCCCGCGGTTGCTAACAAGGGAGGGTGGTGACAGCCTCCCGGGATTGCATGTCCAGCACCAGTAACTCTTCCTGGAAAGAGAGAGCTCAGAGTCCCGTAGACAGCCAGGCTCGGCCTGCCTCCTGGGGACACAGATGATGCGATGCAGAGACGCACAGTGCCCAGCGTGCTGAGGAAGCAGCAGCACGAGCAGAAGCCCAGGGAGGGCCTGCTGGCCCCGGGGTGGGAGGCGGAGCTGCCAGCCTCTCCTCCAAGCGCTCAGAGTCCTGGAAGGGTGGGAGGATGGGACACAGGCAGGCTGACCTGGGTCCCAATCCCCGCCTGTCACCTGGGAGCTGGGGGCCTTGGGCCAGTTACCTCTCCCACCCTCCATTTTCTGTAAAAAGGAGATAATAGCACCTACGTGGAGGGTGAGGGTGGGAGGCGGTGCTGCCGTGAGGATTAAATAAGATAACATGTAAAGAGCCCAGCATACTGCTTGACACACGGCACACACCTCGCGGCGGTCAGGTGTGCACACGTGCTGTCAATCGACCTCCACATAACAGGCTAAGCCTCGCTCTCCCCTCCATAAGGCCTGCAGATGGGTACCTGCCACTGCCCAGAACATCTGCACTTTGCTCCCCCAACGTGCGCTGCGTGCTGCCAAGTCAGTGTTGTTACGTATCTGTTCCCAAACCTGTTGATGCCAGTTACACTTGCTCGTGCAATTACATCATTTATTCTCTGTATACACTATTTGTACACATGAAGTCCTGTCTTTCTAGAACCTGCTGAGCTGCTGACAGCCCCCCACCCAACCCTTTCATCGCAGCCCATTCGCTGCCTGCTGGTCAGCTCCCACCCACAGGCTCCTGCCTCTGATGGGTCGGGATTCCCTCCCTCGGAGCCCAAGGACCGTGAAGTGCGCCCAGACTGGATGGGTCCCTGGCTCTGTCCAGGACACTCTCAGACCTGGTGAAACAGCACCGGGGACAGGTGGTACCTGAACAGCTCCTCGGAGGCCTCCCTGCAGCCTGCGCGGGACGTGGGTCCTCCACCCCCATGGGCAGCTGGCAGCAGTAAGGGGTCACCCAGCGGGACGGCTCCGCCGAGGTCAGGATCGTCAAACAGCTTCAGGGCTGTGGAGGAGGCAGCAGCAGAGGGGTCAGGAGAAGTCCTAGCCTGTCCTCGGCTGCCTGCGGGGTGCAGGGTGGAGAGAGTCTGGCCCAACCTCCTGGTACAGCCAGGAGAGAGGAAGCAATATTGTCCCTTTGGTCTGCAAGGCAGACTGCGGAAGCACCAGAGGAATGGGGCCACGTGGGGCAAGAGACAGGTGCTCACGGGGGCCTGCAGCCCTGGCCCCTGCCCCCCTCCACGCTGGGCCAGAGCCACCTGATGGCACCCCTCCCGGTTTCAAGTCCTTGCGGCCTCCCCACTGCTTTTAGGAGGAAACAGCCTCTTCAGCTCACACCCCGGGCTCCCCATGGCCCCGGCCAGTTGGATCTCTTAGCTCAGCCCCCAGGGCTGCACCCCAGTCTTCCTACAAGCGCTCACTGAGCGCCAACCACCAGCCCGGGGCTGCCAGCTCTGGGATGCAGTGGTGAGCAGACACGGCTCTGACCACGGCCTCTGCCTTCGAGGAGCTGGGGTCTGCTCCCCACCCTCTCCCCATCTCCCCTGCTCAACGCTGCCCTTCGTGAAAGGTAACTGCAGCTTCTCCGTCTGGAATAGGCTTTGTCAGCAGCCCTGGCAAGTTCCGCCGACCTTTCAGGATCCAGCTCAGGTACAGTTCCTCCACCTGAGCCTCACCCAGGAAGCCTTCCCTGGGGTCCCCACAGGCACGGACGTCCTGCTAAGACCTGTTACAGGCCCAGGCTAGCCTCTCATGGTCAGGAGATGTCCTGTCTCCCTCAGGGAGGCCCTGAGGCCAGAACTGTGATTCACTCATCCAGGTGTCCTCGGCCCCAGCACAGTGCCTGGCCGTCAGTGGGTGCCTGGTGCCGGCTGAATTAATGGGTGACATCAGTTCCCTACCCTGGATGCAAACGCGGGCGGGGGTAAGAAGGGTCAGAACAGGCACGAGTGTGGAAGTCCCAAGGCTGCTCAGCTTCCCTGTCCCAGCTGTGCACTGGACCCTCCCTCGGGTTCTCTGCAGGGGACACAGAGACTCTTGTGAGAGTCCAGGTCGCACAGAGCAGGCCAGCGTCCACCCTCCACCTGGTGCGCACGTCTGGCTGCAGAGGTAACAAAGGCACTTCTGCACCAGTCACAGCCCACACTGTTCAAAGCAGCAAAGAAACTACTCTTTGCTTCTGAGGGATGATTAGAATAAACATACAGCCCTGGAACGTTCCAGGCTATGGGGACACAAGGTGTGAGACTAGAAATCCAACAGAAAATCTCTCCACTGACTGCATCTGCATCGTGTTAACACATGAGCTGTCCTGCTCATGTGTGGTGGGTCCAAAGCCGCTCGCAGAGCTTGGCTGGGTCACCCGGGAGACACCGAGAGTGAAAGGAACACCCCCGGGGCTCTACTTACAGTCCCTGGGGCGCGCGTCCTCTGCGGGGCTCCGGGGAAAGGGCTTCCTGCCCGAGCCAAAGAGCCCCTCGTCGGGGTCCACCTCCTCATCAAAGATGGAGAGACAGGGCGAGGGTTTGGGCTTCACGGCCACTTCCTCCGGGCGTTTCTTGGGCTTCTTGGAGCTGGGGAATCACAGACAGAATTCGAGGTTAGCACCTCTCACAAGAGCCCTGCCGGCCAGCCACACAGGCACTGGGCAGGCTTGAGCTTGTGTCGCAAAGGAGCTTTCTAAGGAGCGACAGTGAGCTGGGGACGCGCTGCTACGGAAGCGGCCCAGCCCTGCGCCCAGGGAACGGCCGCTGTGGGGCGTGTGGCAGGCAGGAGGCTGTCCGGACTACACAACTGACTGCAGACGACTCCAGCCCTGAAGGGCCAGCAGGACAGGCCACAGGCCACAGGCCGTGCCCTCCTTCCAGAGCTGCGAGGCCACACCACCTCAGCACCCCGGGGGCCAGGCTCATCACAGAGCCACCGACAGCCGCTCAGACACAGGGATGGATGCACATGAGGCTGCACACCTCAGGGCCTGGACCCAGGGGAGAACAGAAGGCAGCCTTGGTCAATGCTCCCTTGTTTCCACCCACACATCCCCCCTTCCCTTGAGTGGTCTAACCTCCGTCGTTCCAGAAAACACTTCAGTCCCACTGAGCCAACATCACCTCCTTCGGGAAACCCCCCCGGCTACTCAGAGCCCCAGTCGCCTCTGCACCCCTTGGGTCCCTTTGCGTCTCATTCATCGACTGGCCAAGGTCCTGCTTTGGGCCAGATACTGCTGCGGGAAACCAGGAGGGGACTCGAGGAAGCTTCTGGGCCCCGGGAGGGCTTCATTTCCTGATCCGGGTGGTGGTTACACAGCGGACATGTCAGCCTTCAGGGACCTGAAGACTGCAGATCTACACACGTCACTGGAAGGTACAGCGCCAGTAAATAAACAAACTTGGTTTTATTTTAACAAGGTGATCCAACCCCTGCTGGTGGTGACTAATTAGCCATTTTAAGGTTCCTGCAAACAACAGAAATAAGCTTTTAACCGGAAGTGGGGTTTCCATGCGCCTGTCTGCCTGGAGGGCCGTTCCACTGGACCGAGGTCACCAACTGAGCTCATGCGGGCGATACTATGCAGTTAAACTGCGCTGATACCACCGTAAACAACGCACAGATTAACCAGCAGCAGATAAAAATAGCAGCAGGGCGGCCCTGGGTGTAGGAGGCCAGGGAGCTCAGAGGCGGCTGTTCCCACGGCCTGGATTTAGATGTCTGCTAGAATTTCAGTCTCCCGCTGGAGATGGGGAGAAGCTAGGAAAGGTGAGGCTGCACCTGCTGGAAGGCCGCGGGACCAACACTCCTCGGCGCTCAGGGCTGAGGCCCCAGCGGGAAGATCTCTCTCAGGAGACGAGGAAACAGTGGTTCAAGAAGCTGGGTGTCTGCTCAAGGCCACACGGCAGGCAGGGCCAGGGACTCAATGGCCACACCCCAGTCCCTGCACTTTTCTCCATCTTGGGCACAAGCCAGATGGGCTCAGGCCACAGGCCACCAGGGCCACACCTCCGCTGTGGTGCCATCCCCAGGCCCTGCCTGTGGTGCTGGGCAAGGTGAGGGGAGCCTGGGCTTCTCCAGGAACCTCATCTGCACTTCCTCACACGTCTTAAGGAGTCAGGATGTCCTGCTCTTCCTGGGATGTCTTCCCCTTCTGCCTCACAGACCAGGCAGAGCCAGCGCCGCTCTAGTGACCCCTAGTAAGCGGGTACCGACGAGGCCCTGGCCTTCGGGGCAGGCCAGCTGGAGATGGTCATAGCCAGCCGAGACCCGCTGAATGAGAACCCCAGCGGCAGGCCCCGGGAGCTGCTTGTGTCCCTGTGGACTCTGATGACCGGCCATGTCTGGGAGCCACTGGACCAGCCAGGGGCCTGTGGGCTCTGTCCCACGGCTGTCCCTCAATTACCCGTCGCAGCCGCCCTTTGCTTGGCTCTGCTTGTGCACCCGGCAGGGGCTGCAGCAGTGAAGGGCGGGGAGCCCCCAGCAGGGAGCTCGCAGCCAACGCCCGCAGGTCCACCCTGCTCGGAACCGGAACCGGCAGCTCTGAAACCGCCCGTGGGGAAGGCACACACACATCCTCCCCAGCAGACTGGCCCCCTGGGGCAGGGGCTGGGGGCTTCCCACCGACCAGAAATCAGAGGGAGCACAGACAGAAGGGAGGGTCTGAAGAACAAAGGAAGTGAACGGACAGACGTGATTAATTATCTCTGGAGAAGCCAGGCAGAGATTTCAATGATTTCCCTTCTTGCACCTACTTCTGGTTCGGAGAGCACAAATTAGGCCTGGCTTTCCTGCTATGTGAGTTTTCCTCTCAAATCGGATGAATGTTCCTGTTTTTCTCCCTGGAGACATTTTTTATCTTCTGTGTCTCGAACTGAAATAAAGTGACTCTACAGCCCATGGGGCTGCTCAGTCAGGCACCATCTGAACCCCACCCCGTTCCTCCCGGGCCATCCCCCGTCTCCCCGACTACCCCCAACCCGTCTCCAGGGGAGACAAAGAACAAGAAGAAACATGGAGCTTGGATGGCTGAAAGCCCCAGGGTCCTGTCCTGGTTATAGCCCCAAATTCTGTCTCTGGGGACTCAGTAGAGTGCCTGGTCCAGAGCAGACGCTCAATAAATATTAGACGAAAGAACAGATGGATGGAGGGGTGACGGAAGGATGCACAGACAGACGGACGGATAGGTGGACGAACAGGGTGACAGTATCTCTCTAATCCAGACTTATTTCTACCTCCTCCCCCCAGGGAGGGGGGAAAGGGAGTGAAGAGAGAGGGGCGGCCAGCATTGTCTCAGACAGAGGCCTTCCACCCTACGGCTCCTCCTCCAGGGATCTCGCAGGCACCCCAGCTGGTCTCTCCAGCAGCCCCTCGGCCCTCCCGTAAGAAAAGCTCATCCTTTCACTCGGAGTGACTTCTATGAGCCAGCTCTTGGGAAGTACCTCCCACGGGCAAGAACGTGTGCTGGGTGATGAGGGCACAGAGGTGAGGAAGACCTGGCACTGTCCCCAGAGGCTCACAGCCGAGCAGGGTCACAGACATACACCCGTCATCACCACACAGGGCACTCATTCCGTGATAGCCGGAGCCCAGAGGAAGGAGCCAACCCAGCCCGAGGGCTTCCTAGGGGAGGTGGCGTAGAGGTGGGCAGTGACCTGGGGGGCTGAGGGCAGAAGACTGACACAGGCAGAGAGACCCTCAATCTGTGAGGGGCTGCGGGACTGGGCACCACCGGGAACCCAGTGCCCTGAGAAAGCTTTGCTCCTGGTCCCTGGAGGAACGACCAGGGCCCGGACTGGGGAAAATGAGAGCAGGGAGGACGTCAGAAGGCAAAGTGCTGAAGTGACTCGTGGGCAGAAGGGACAAGTTTAGGATGGTGCCGGATTCTGACTCAGGGACAGGACAGGCATTTCAATGTCAGGTGAGTCACTCAGACTCCAAGCCCGTTCCCTCCCCTCCCTCACACATCATGTGAACGTGCACTCAGACTGCACACACGGCTACGGTCCTGGCGCCCCCGCTGTCCCCCCTCAGCTCCTTTCCACCCGCATCCACCCGGGTGCCCGCGGGACACACCATCCAGCTCTGCTGTGCCCGCCACCAGCACACCCTCTGCACGGAGCCATAAAGGATGCCCCGCCTTCTCCCTCCTCCAAAGGAAGGCTGGTATGATCAGACTCCTGTCACCAGGGATGGGGCAACCGAGCATTAAACAGTGGGGTCTGCAATGGACGGAACCGCAGCTGCCGACCTTGTGCGGGTTCCCACACAGCATGGGTTGCAGGAGGTTGGGGGTGGGGGGCAGTGGGGGGAGGTCCCTGGACGGGTGCAGGCACATGGAACTGTGCTCCTGCAGTGCACATGGCGTGTGCACGCACAGACGTCAGCTTTCCTGCTGTGTGTGCCTGATAGAAGACAGATGTCCAGGCCAGGCCACATCCTGCAGGCGGGTGGGGAACGCGCACGAGTGAGAGGCAGCAGGTGCCACAGCTGACAGCTCTGATAGGCCAAGGAGCGGCCCTGCTCCACGGGGCTCAGGCGGCTCTGGTGACAGGGACTGACACGAGAACGTCCTCCCCTCCGGCCACCCAGGGGGCTTGTGTCAGTGTTCCCGGATGCACCTGCCCCTGTGACAGATCCCCAATGGGGACCAAGGGCCCAGGTCCTGAGTGCACTTGAGTTGCAGAGGCATCTCCTAGACTAACCAGAAGACAGTGGATCCTTCTGAAGCCAAGACTCACAGACAACATGACTGTTACCTTCAGAGCCAGGGGGATACTAAATCCGACACGGAAATCAACTCTCTTCCAAGCGTGTAACGTTCCTGCTTCAAAATACAGCACTTTTCATTTTTTAATCTTAAATTCACTTTTTTTTTTTTTTTTCCATTAGCGAAAATTCTCAGAGTGCCAGTAAATGAACTTGTGACATTCATTCCAGGACAATGTGATTTGCAGCAGCGCTAGGCAACGGGCTTCCGCCGCGACCCGATCACAGGAGTCGCGTAAATCACGCAGGACAGGCATTCACCCTGTGGGCCCACACCAGCCTCGCTGGGCCAGGGGATTCAGGGCAGCACCGGAGGAAGGGTGAGCAGGGTTGGGAAAGCTGTGCTCCAGGCAGAGAGAAGACCCCTGTGAAAACGCTGAGGTGGGAAGGGATGGTATGTGCAAGTGCCCAACAACTGGACGGCAGGTGCATGGAGGGAGGAGGGGGAGGGTCTGAGGGGAAGTCGGGCCACATCCCGCAGGGCCGGGGATCGGGGGATTCTGACCGGTCTGAGGGAGGACCCCCCTGGAGGGGGATGCAGGAGAACCTGTGTACGACCCCAGGCCAGTCATTTCACTCCCTGAGTGTCTCCTTATCTGTTCAGTGGGAATAAGGAATGATCTGGAAACTGCAAAGTGGAGCCCGTATGCTGTTGGGCAAAGCAGAGGCCTGTGATCACAGGTGCTGCTTGAGGATGTCTAGCTCACATTGTGTTTCGACCCAAGTGACTCCGTTCTGGGCTCTACAAAGTAAACCGGCCGGTCCAGGTAGCTGCCCTGGATGCCCATCATTTGCTGCTTTCCCATAAGTCACACTC